TCCCTTTCACGGCAGGTTTATGCAGTGAGTTCTCCTCTCCATGATTTGCCTGCCGCTGTCTTTCAGCTTCGAAAATAGACGTGCCGTGCCCGGACGACCCTACTAGGCGTGCAAGGATGAGCCGGAGGGATATGATTACTCCGGCCACGGAGAGACGTAATTCCTGCGTTCGTCATCTGCCTCTGCGCTGCAGGATGTCTTTTCTTCTTCGACTGCCGCCGTGATTCGGCGAAAAGTGGCTCTCCCTAGGTGGCAGACGGTGCTTGCCCGTTCCACGTAAGGCCTATGCCCCATGGAGAGGGAAAGCGCCCGCTCTCCTACGGCTTCCAAACATAATTGCCATTTGAAATGAGTGCAATGTGCATATTGGCTTGCAGGACCTCTTGAATGCGGCGATGAGCTCCAACGACAAAGCGTCCAGCGGGTGTGATATGCTGCGTCTCTGACAGACCGGTTTGCATGCAGGGTGCTACGCGAATGATATCAGGTAAGTAGAAATTCATCACCACATTGCTCTAGCAATATGGGCAGACTGAGAACCATTGTATGCAGCGACATACCAGCATTGTGCAGTAGCCCGAGAATCCATGATGCGGAGTTGCAAAGCATGTTCTTCGAAAGTGGGGGATCATGGATGCACGTACAGGTCAGTGGCGATCTTTGTTTGCGCAGTGCGGGACGAGATAGCCTCATACGAACCTTGTCCAGAGGTGGGGGCTGTGGACCATTGTGTGCGCAGATTCAGCGAAGCAGATGCAGATGCATCGGCTCCTCCACTTAGGGTTCGTTTAGACTTACAGGCATAGCTCCATCGGTCCCCTATGGGCTGGTTCCAGATGCGAGCTCGGCTTTGCGGTGCAACCCACTACGGCCGAAACGGAGACTCGGAGCGTCCCTTGTCTAGCTCCATCGGTCCTCCGTCCTCAACCATGGGTTCGTGGTCTCCGGTAGATGCAAGGGAAAGATTCGATGGAGCGCGGCTCGGCTCGGCTTGCGGGCGCCCGATTGCCTCTAGCACGAAGACACGCGCGAGCAAGGATACAGTAACTTCTGTACACCTCCACGTACCGCACGAGCATCTGCAGTGTCGAGCCAGCTGCCCCCAGGCACCAAGAACGCCTATCCACCCATCCTCCTTGTCCTGATTGTCGCACCTGGACCATCCTTCGCCTCGCCCCTGGTCTGGCGATTCCAGCCCAAGTCGCCATTGTCATCTTTCCCACCAAGACTGCCGACACGCACAGGAGATGCCGCTGCGAAACACTGGTCTGCTTTCTCTCTCCCTGGCCGCCAGAGCGAGTTTCGGCATTCAGCGCTCCCTCCTTGGTTCTCCTGCGGGTGCACTACGGCAATAGACCTTGTCCGACAACGTGGCGGAGGAGCGGCGTAAGAACAGTGTGTCGATCCATGAGATTCTCTCCAAACTGTACGTCGCCTCCCAGTGTCTCTGCTTGTTGTCTCGATGAGGATATGCACGCCTCGAGAAGGCGTTGTAATGGACAGCGAGCTGCTGTATACGGCACGCAGGTCGAAACCACTCAGGGCTCTTTGTCTCTGTCGACCCCCCCTCCCTCCCCCACAAGTGTTGCCGGTCTCGAGTTGTTTCTTTACCGTGGGGTGGCGATTTGCCGTCTGTCCAATCCCAACGGGACGGCTCATGCACCATATCTCCGTTGAAATCAGCCCGGTCCTCTAGCGCCGCTTTGCCACCTCAAGCGTGGTCTCCGGTCCCTTCCTTACGCATTCTTAGCCAAGATACGGGACAAGTGCCTTATTGTGCAGTGAGCTTGTGGGGCTCCCACCAGCTAAGCTTATTCTTCCGACTAGTGAGTCTGCCAGCTATCGTCCCGTCAAGAACATTGACGTTCGCTTTTATGTTTTGCTAGGTCTTCTGTGTCTTTTTTCGGGTACAGGACAACTTCTACGTTCATACGGCCGACATTCTGATAGGCCTGCGCGGTTAGCAGTCACCTTCGTAACTCGCAAGGCCTTGCATCGAGGATAGGAAGGGTAACAAGCGGGACGGTACTGAATGAGACTTCACACCAAGGTGCTCCCCACTTTAGGCAAAGACTCTTAAGACAATACTTCCTCTGGTCGTTTGTCGGCTTCAGGTAGTAGCATTGACCGTCAGAGGTTGCTGCCCACGTTCAATGGAAATATAGCCGTCTTCGCCTGTCCACTCTGATTGAGCTTCTGTCGATGAGCTTCGGTTGCAACGACTGTCCGAGGACATACTGAAACCTAAGGCTCCGACAGACGTCGCTGTCAACAAGCAAGCTGCTTTCGATGCGTTGATTCACTTGCGTGCCAGCGGATCCATTTTTCATCCATTCGTATTCAATAAGACTGAGATGGAGCCGGCACCTCAGGGCGGGTGGTGCGGGCTTACTCCAAGCGCTATATGGCCTCACGATAGGACGTTGGCTGCGGGGTAGGTACCTTGAGTCTTGAGTTGAGCTTGAGACCAGATAATCTCTTCCGGCCTATATGCTCCTTTCATCCACGTATTCCTTCTTCTCTCTAAGCCCTCGCGTATTCCACATGGAGACGCCGTCGGCCCAGGGCCAGTCGGACTAAGGAGGAGCAGTCGAGACAGGCGGTGGCGAAGGCGCGCGAGCGTAGAAGTGCGTTCGGATGTTTGAATCGGTAGTCTACCTATGCCTTTGCACCCATCGGCGACTTATGTCTGTTCCCCCCTGGTCGTCCATGTGCTATTGTGGCCTATCATAGCAGCATTTCTGACAACATTCAACGGACAAGGTTGGGCCGGTTCGGCGTGACTGTGGCCCTGGCACTACCAGCGAGCTTAACCCCCCGGCCCAAACCCTCATTCCTGGCAACTGGACATAACCTGCCGTGAAGCTCGTCTCTGACCACGGCAGTGGTACAAAAGCACTTTCGCAGGGTCGTTGCATCTTTCTCGCGAACCTTGACCCAGCTCACCCGCCCGAGACCCTTACTTGCACGCAATCCACATCCGCCAACGTCGCCGAAGTGACCCTACCACGGAGCCCAGCGATCCTAGCCACCCTGCCCCGTACCAAGCAGCAGCCTCAAGGTCTCACGTCTTCTGCCTCTAGCCCCACCCTTGCGGCTAGCCACCCGAGTCGCCTTAGGGTGCTGCGCGAAGCAGTAGGCACTGCCCGTGCTAGCCCCGACCCCCTTCGGTGTACAAGAGCCTAGGCCTCGTGGCAACTCTACCCAATTATTCCACGGACCGCATGCACCGCGAATTTTCCCTCGAGGAGGCAATCCTTGGACTTCATTCAGCGGGTACATCCCTTGCGACTGTGACGTCCGAGCTGCATAGTGAGTCTTCATCACCAGTTCTAAGAGTCGTGTTCCTAGGGCCTCTGGCATCTGGTCTCACTACGCCTGTTCCTTGTTTTCTGCGGGGCCAGTCCTTTCTTCCCAAAGGCACAGTAGGTTCGACCTCGTCGCTGTTCATTCGTACGTTGTATTCACGGTTGCTGTATGGTGCTTTGCGCATGATACAGGTTCTACGCGTCAGTCTGAGTAGACCATTTTGCAGACTCACTGCATGGATGACGTACCAGTCGACATCTGCGAATAGGTCGCATTAGGCATACTCGAGTCTGCTTCGAGCCTGTGTCTTTGAAAACTCCCTCCCTCTTTCGGAATGAACGTTCGTCCAGCCGTTGGGAGCCTGGTTCTCGACCGGTCCTCCTCTTTAATCCTGCATCCATAATCTCTATCATGTTGAATGCACCATCGTTCCTACGTCTCGGCAGCGTCCTACCCGCGGTCGCATAGCATCCGCTACGCAGAAGCAGCACCCTCTCGAAACGAAGTGGACACGGTAGCTAGGATGGTGGATAGCTCCGGCAGAACACTGGGGTGGGTTCGAGAGGTGCGTACCTCGTTGGATTGTGCGGCGCTTAGCGCGATCTTGCCACCTCCGGGTGCGTCTGGACCATATACAGTGGTCCTTGTCATCAGTCCCGTCCATGCCGTGCGAGGGTTTGAATGTGCAACGGTCCTGAGATCCCCGTTAGCGAGACTGGTAGGCTGGTATAGGATCTGTGTCTTCGGAATAGGGACCAACCAGTGTGTGCACCAGCTTCAGAGCGTGACATGGGTCCATGTAGGTCCCCCAGCCACGCACAACTCCGTACCGGCTCGCGACAACTGTCACTTCGCAGGCAGGTCTCGGCTTGACGCCGACAGGTTGGCTCGGTTGTGCGCCGACCACACTGATCTGACGGACTTGGCAGCAAACGCGCTGATAAGTTCATGAAATAGATTAGATCAGTCTATTACAACGGTATGGATACAAAGAACACGAAGGAGTTGCCCGCATCCTCCCTTAGAGGTCTCCTCATTGCATGAGATGGTAGGCCAATTACTACCTGGACTTCGCGCACTGAAACGAACGTGGATGGCCTCTAGGCCTGAAGTTAGCTACGCTGGTGCAGGCGCACTTTGCGCCAAACTCACATCCTCGAGGAAGCCCTCCACGGTTTCTATTCTCTCTTTCCGGGCGCAGGCCGTAATTGCATTGGTACCGTGACGACCGGCGAGACGAGTGCACCGTATGGCGGGCTTAACGCCACATAGATCGAGCGCAACGGGACGTGTTCTATGCCGACTTCCACCCAAGGCTATCCGTAGTCGCTGATTCTGGCTGCTCGACTGAACAAGATCAGGCGATCAGGCTCCACGTTCCTTCTCCAAGGACCGGTTCATTGGCGCGACGATGAGCCAAAGTCTCGGGGGAATAGGTACAGTATAGGAACCACACAAGGCCGACGATTGAGACCGCCACGGATTGCTGAAACAGACTTACCCCAAGGTATCGGACAGTGGGACATATTTGCGATTGTGCAGTGCTGAATGGACTGCCACACCAATTGAGTAGCATCGTAAGTCTACTGGTTCCCCCATGCGAGCGAGAGAGCAAACTCGTCATACGGCGATGCAGCAGCGGGCACACACATTTCACTGCTGTCACTTTACGAGAGCACGTCTTTCCTTGCGGCCCAATGGTCTAGTCGTATGATTCGCGCTTCGGGTCTCATAGTAGAGTGCGCGAGGTCCCGGGTTCAATTCCCGGTTGGGCCCTTTTTGCCTCTTGCGATCTCACCACTGTGACGTCAGCGGACGAATCCTGCTCCCACCGACTACGTAGAAGAGTGCGCCTACAAGTGAGCACAAATCACTCCCGGAGTCCCAATCCAGAGTTCGTGTTGGTCTACCTCATCGGCTTCTTCCCACTTCAGTAGCGCAAACATTGTCTAACCCAACCTGACCAAGCCATGCCTGTTCCAAAACATATCCTGAATCAGATAAAGGCTATCATTCCTCCTCTCAACGGCTCCTTGCACAAGGGACAATCAGGACGCGTCGGTGTTTTGGGCGGTGCGCTAGAGTTAGTATAAAGTCCTGTCGCATGACCGAGAATCTGCTCACAAATGCGCAGTTATACTGGCGCGCCGTTCTTTGCCTCCATCTCGGCACTGCGTATAGTGAGTCTGACAGAAGCTTGTGCAATGTAATATGTCGCTCACAAGCCGCATCGTCCTCTAGGGCGCAGATCTCTCGCATGTCATTTGTTCACCCACTGCGGCGGGAGCCATCAAATCATACTCCCCGGACCTGATCGTCCACCCCATCCTTCGCGAAGACCAGTGAGTGCAGGGTGCTCATTGCTAGGAGCGTTTCGGCATTAAACAGTCCCTTTGAATCATTGGTAGGACTCCGGAACAAGTCAAGCCGACGCTTGATTCGCTCCTCTCCCGCCTGCATGTGCTCATAGTGGGGCCCGGGCTCGGGCGAGAGGACTACATGATCAAATACGCAAAGCTTGCGCTCAATATCGCGAAGGAGCAAGGCATGTACGTCGTTCTCGACGCAGATGCACTCTGGATGATCGGCCAGGATCTCGCGCTGATCCGGGGCTACCGTCGCGCGGTTCTCACGCCAAACGTCATGGAGTTCAAGCGTTTGAGCGAGAGCGTGGTACGTGTCGATAGCACGGGCCGTTTGTGAGCACTTCTGACGATGGGATGTTGGAAGTAGGACATAGACCCGAAGATCCCGCCTGAGGAGCGTGCTATGCACGTCTCTCGCGCCTTGGGCGGCGTCACTGTCCTCCAGAAGGGCCCCTCGGACATCATATGCACGAACACTGGTGAAGCTACAAAGGAGCAGGCTCAGCTGAACAAGGTGGGCGGTTGTTAATGAATGTGTCAAAGGACGTCTCTCTGACCAGAGTTAGATCTCGGAAGGCGAGAGCACAGAGGAACGGGTTGTGGTCGACATCCCTGGCGGTCTGAAACGCTGCGGCGGCCAGGGCGACATCCTGAGCGGCTCCGTAGGTACGATCATGGCTTGGGGAAAGTGCTTCGAGAGCGGCGCTTTCGGGTCAGTGTGTCTTCCCGCTGCATTTATTGTGCTCGGCACTCACATCTGTCCTTCAGTGATGGTTCCATCCCTCCATCACGCATCCCTCTTCTCGCAGCGGTTGGTGGATCTATGGTGACGAGGACCGCTTCAAGACATGCGTTCGGCCTCCACGGAAGAGGTGCGTCTTACCTTGCAGACGCGCCGCGATTGGTATACCACGCCACCTCTTACCACTTATCCAGGTGTTGTGACGCAGGACATGATCCCCGAAATTGGTCGCGCCTTCGCAGAGATATTCGGCGAAGGTGAGAAAGGCTGGGGAGCGCCGACCGGCGAAGGAAAGCTGTGAAGATAGACGTGCATATAGTACTCGGTGATACAGACTGTTTTACAAACATCACAGAATAGCTATTCAGCACCTCCGTACAGCTAAATTGCTCTCTGCCTGAGATCCAGGAGGGTGCGTCAACAGCCGCCAAAGACGTCATTGCTACGGTTTCCCCAAGCTTCTTCTTCTATTGCTGTTTCAGAGTAATTGGCACATCCAACTGTTCATGCCTCGTTCTGCACTTCAAAGGATCGTAGCTCAATCAGTGTTCAGCCAGATAATATCTACTTGGTATGATATGTTCAAAGAAATGGGTTCTAATTTCTAAGCTCCATAGAAGTGGGATGAGTGAGCGTTTCTCTAACAAATGCCCCTGAATGAGTGGAGAGCGCAACCTTCCAGGTCTTTGGTATTGCTAAGCTTACCTCTCATGGATACAAGACATGCTGAGTAAAGGTTGGATAATCTCCTGCTGCGGAAACCATGAATCTGATGAGTATGGACTGAGCTGCCAGTCGTAGTATGATTCTGAAAGAGCAGTCACGTGATCGCGACTGACGCGGGGAGATCAGCTTCTACTTGGGTCTGACCGCTGTATGCATCCTTGAGCTTCGTCGTCCTCTCGTGCGGTAAAGTTTTGTCCTGCTACTAGTTGTAAATCTCTGATGATCAGCCTGTCGCATCTAGGGTACTCCTCTTATAGGGCAGAGCTGCTTTGCTCTGCGGTCCTCTCTGTTATCTCCTCAAGAACACCGGTGATGGCTCAACGACCGTCTAGTGCGGAAGATGGATATGAGTCTTGGGGACTCTCCGGTCGGTCTCATTCTCTATATGAAGCAGTTATGTTCTTACCTAGCATGCGACTCTAATAGATGCAGACGCTGAAGGCTTTTCTGAATTTGAGTTCACGTCCGAATCAGAAGAGTCCGAGAATGGCTCCTCCAATGAAGGTGCGACACAAGGCCGTAACAGAGCGTATGGTCGCGGTCGTCAGATTGCAGGAGGCAGTACATTGGCGCGAAATGCGGCAGCAGAGGAAGCACGAGTGGAAGCTGCAATTGAAGGGGATTTCGACCGTCTGATACAGAGCATCCGCGAAGCGGGTGACGGAACAAGCTCGGGGATGCTGAGTAAGATGTGGGACATGAACCTCGAAGAACGCGAGGCCGAGTTCAAAGACGACTTACGAGCAGCATCGGGAGTGGGGAGAACAAAGAGAAAGGTAAGTGTATCCTCGTGTCTTGCCATGCATGGGCATCGACCGCTTCCCCTCAGCGCGGAAGGCGACGCGGGCCCATCCTCTCTCAACAAGTTCGGGCACTCATTGGAGAGGGAAACCAAGCATATGTGGATGCCAATATCCCAGAGGCCATACGCATTATGCAAGAAGTCATCCGCATTGAGCCCCGTGCTGCTGCTGCTTGGAGCGTTCTCGCTCAGTGTTACGACGATATGGGTGATCGCGCGAAGGCACTGCAGCTGCGAATCATGGCGGCGCATTTAAATCATGATGCGGATGAGTGGGGCGAGCTAGCTCAGCAGTCCAGGTAAGTTATCATTGACGTCCAAGTTTCTCTGTATCAAACACATGTGCAGGTCCTTGGGATATAACCAGCAGGCTCTGTATTGCTATGGGAAGATGTACCACCTGGATCCGACTAACATCAATGCTTTATGGGATCGCGCGTCTCTAGCCAAGGAGATCGGTGATTTGAAGACCGTAAGTATGCCGGTACATGCCTATGTCGCCGTGCTCACTTGTCTTCCAGGCGCGTTCTACGATGCTCGTCATGCTGAAACGGCTCCCTCATCATCTTCCTGTCCTGGATGAACTCAGGACTATACTCATCGAGCTCTCCGAGCTCGCTCTTTGCGCCGAGCTCTTCCAAGGCGCGTTCGACCACTACCAGTCAGCCTTTCCCTCAGGACGCGGCGTCGACCCAGAGACCAGCGCACAGGTGCCAGGGGGTGGGTTCGGACTCATGCACCTCCTGGTGCTCGCTGACCTCTATAACACGCTCGGCGAACACATCAAAGCTATCAATACGATCCGTAGAGGATGTAGGTGGCTGCAAGGACGCGCGGCGCAGAAGTTCTGGGACGCATGCGAGGACGACCGGGAGTGGGACGTTCCCGAGAGCGGCGTACAACGTGGCGGCGATGGCGAGATGCAGCCAGGCATGTACCCCTTGGACGTCAATGCGCGACACCGGCTAGCGATTGCGCGCATCAGGAACGGGGATATTGAAGAGGGAAAGGTATGCGCGCTTGTCAGCTTAAACAAGACATCCCAAAGCTTGACACATCGACTTGCAGATGCACGCCAAGATCGTCCTTGCGCAGGATGCTGTTGAGTATGCTCCACTATTTTCGGAGATTGCAGACGCGTACTTCGAACGGGAGATATATGCAGAGGCAGGCCACATTTACGAGATGCTTGGCGGAGATGCAGGGGTCAGTGAATCCGATAAAGGCTCGAGAAGTCGATCTTCTGATAGGGCAAGCATGAATAGACAAGCAGCCTGTATGTGCTCATGCAAGCAGCTGCATGTCGTCGCATGGTCGGCGACCTGAAGGAGGCGGCAGAAGTATATGAACACGGTATGTACTTCGTGCATGTCCGGTCACCTTTTCTGACATCCGTGTAGTCATACAGGCGGACCCTAGTCACAACGAAGCAAAGATGAAACTTGCGGAAATATATGAGATCTTGAACGAACCTCGGAAGGCTTTGGATCTCGTCCTACAAGGTACTCGCCCATGCGCCGTCTTCCTGTGTGAACATCGAGCTGAGATTACATTTGAGTGATCGAGTCTCGAAAACGCCGTGCCGCACACCGAGAGACACCCACGGATGCTGGTGCTGAGGAGACAGGGTCAGCTTCTCTGTTTGAGGAAGGCAAAGTGCGCGGTGCCAAGTCCAAGGGGACCCCAGCTAAGGCGAATCCGAACAAGCTCACGGTTGCACAATTGCGCGAGCTGGAAGCGGAGAAAGAGCGCGAGGCGGTCCAGGCATGGCGTCGTGTGCAAGACCTATGGCCCCGTATGCTCGCGAACGACGAGGAGGCAACGAGAGAATGGCTCGTTGAGGCTGAGAAGCTTGTCGAGTCTTTCAGAGAGACGCGAGCACTATTCTTGACCAGCAGAGTGAGGAGCGTTGCTAGTCACTCGATGGGTTTGCACTGAACATCTCCACTCTCAGCATCGTGGATTCCGGGGCATGTTCCCAAGGAGCTCCAGGAAGCAAACTACAGAAGCTACTGAAGATAGCATGGCGTCGCGACTACAACTGGAGTTAGGCAAGGCTTCGTTTCTGCACTACGGCCGTCGTTGATATTAATGATCTACTCCAGGTCGCGACACATTGGCACGGAAGGGTGCGAAGTCC